GAATGCAAACCATGGCCATCCTGTTGAGTTTCTCTTTTCTTTTAAGTCCCACATACGTGAATTATGCCAGGGTGGGTCAGGAAATGGAGAGGCAAATCCATCCCCCACTGCTTCTGTTACTGCCTTTTCAGCACCTATTAGAAGCAGCCAGCATTGGTGAAAAGTAACATCTACTAGTAGCAAAACAGAAGATGAGTGAATCCCGGCCATCCCTACTGAAATTTTCTCCTTCCAGGGACCCAGGATGTGAAAACAGAGACTGAATGAGCGGTGCTCTAAATTACAGCAAATGGTTCTTCACTTATGAATAAAACCATAGTCTTTCAATTTCAAGTTCAAAGAACTCCATCATGCTTCCCTTCGTAAGGGCTCCTTGCCACACACAGTTTACATTTCCTAAATCTCAGATTACTCCTGGAAGAAGCATGGCATCTGCAGGAGACAGGGAACCACCTCCCAGCGCTGTCCATAACACAGCAAGGCAGCAGGAACTATGGGGTACACAGGCCTGCTCACAGTCACAAAGTCCTGACACTTCTCTTTCTTTTACAGCAAAGTTCTCAGCTCTTAGATTTACACTCGGGCATCAACAAGGTACTCTGGTTGCTCCGGGTAGCAAAGAACTGATCAGACTCAAAGAATCATTTGGATTGGAGAAGACCTTCAAGATCATCAAGCCCAACCAGACTATGTCAAAAGCCAGGCCCTGGAATTATTAAACCAGTGTCGGCCACTGCCACCAGCTTGGGGCAGAGTTCAGCGAGCGAAAATCCTCATGGGGCTGGAGCTGACTCATCTGAAGGTGGATTAAAGAGCAAAATCTGTCTGTAGCCTGTTGCAGGAAGAATACATGTAATGTACTGTGCAAAAAGGATAGAGGGAGCTGCTACAAAAAAATCACCACCAACAATGGCAGACAGGAAAATCCTTCTGGCTTGAGACCTACTGTGCAGTGCGACACAGGTGAACCCTTAGAAACAGAAAGCCTTACAAACACCTTCACCATAGTACAGTGTTCCTCCATCAGACACTGGTCACTGTTGCAGTGGAGGGACCTTTAAGGATGTGTATAAACATATGTGAGAATTTAAAGTTACTCCAGCCTACCATTCTGTGTCATTCTGTAATGTCCTTGCTTGGCACATAGGACAGCCCTGGTACCTCTGCTGATGCCCTTGTTCCTTCAAAAACAGCCAAAAGAAAATTTGGAAGTGTCCTGACTGCAACCAAGCAGGAAACAGGACAACATGCGTGCTTGAAGACTGCTCTTGGGCAACGTGTTGCTTTATTCCATGTTTAAGTCTCAGGTGCCCCTTGAAGTGCATTTTGTATCAAACACAGTGTAAATATCAGTTCAGAAAGAGCACTCAGAGCAGGGAAAGTTACTTGTAGGAGGTTGACCCATTATCAGAACAACACCAGAGAAGCAGCCAATGTGAAACCTCACAGAAGAACAGGTCTTACTGCCATGAAGTGCAGTGGCTGCCACCTTACACACACCATAGTTACAGAAACCCTGCACAGCAGCCAGAGCAGCAGAACAGCAAGCCCACAAGAATGTACTCCACTGTGGAGTCTCTTTAACATTACATTCACTCTACAGTGTCTTAACAGGGGAAATAAAATTACGGTAGAAGCAATCGTAATACTGAAGTCTTGGAAGCACATTCTAAAGAGTTTTGATGTTTCCAACCCCTTAAAAAAAAACAAACAAACAAAAAAAAAACCACTAAAACAATACAAAAAAAGAATAGGCCCTGACCACTTCCTCGCCTCTGGCAGGCAGCAGTGTTTTTTCTCTCAGCACACAAAGTTATCAGCGAACAGCAAACGGGAAAGAAGCCGCCCTGAGCAGCATGCAGGCCTGGCCAGCAGTGCAGGAAAGCAGAGCTGCTGGGCCAACCCCTCTGTCCACAACAGCCCAAGGAAGCAGAGAAACCACGCCGTCCCACTGCGGCCACGGGAAGCCGATCCGCTGCAACCTTTCCCTCTCATTCAGTACTTTATTAATAAAACGACAGCTTACTGCCTTGATCTCTCAAAGGCAGCTCAACAGAAAATCGATAGCCTCACCCAACAGCACACAGATGAAGAGAAATAAACACAGCAGCTCCTGTCGTTCTCACTAAGAGCTGGGAAATAAAGCCTAAAAATTCGTCTGTAGAACAGAAAGCCAAAGTAGGTGAGAGGATTCACAAACGTGTGAATACTTTCATTACAATCTCCTTCTAAATCAATGTGACATGTATACACAACATGCACAAAGTTGGCTAATATTCCTAGCACTTTAAAGTCTTGTTTAAAGAAGAATCCAATTACAATATTCCTTAGGGAATAATGCAGGTGATCAAACTGTCACTTCATAACAGGCAACAGTACCTTAAAGGAAAACACTCTACATCAAAATCTGTCTTTCCTGTAAACAATTTTTGGCACAAGGAAACCCTGTATTATCTTTGTCAAGAGAATTTTCCTGATCTTGTACCTTCCTAATAGCTGACTCCATACTTCCCTGATTTCAAGTCTAAAAGAGAAATCAGCTGCCATCACTGCAGCTCTGCCACCTCTTTGGGTGGCACCGATGCCCACACTGCTGCTCCTACTCCAGCAGCAACACCAACAAGACAGTGAGGACCACTCAGGATGCACAACAGGGGTAACTTCTGCAGAAGCACAACTCTCCGGGAAGCAGATCTGCACTCTGAAGGCGCAATGCTCCTTCTGCCCTCTGTGCAGCCCAAGCCCACAGCGCTCACAGGCAGTCCCCAGCACCAAAGTACCCATGTATGCTGTGTATCCAACTCCATGCATCCAACCACCCTTACGTACTTCCACCATTTTTGAGTAGAACTGCTGTGCTCTGACAGGCAGGCACTACCATGGTGTTCATAATGCTCCCAGCCTCCCAGCTCTGTCTTACCTGCACTCAGATTTCCCAGCTCACAGCTCAGCAAAGCCATCTAAAAAGGTGTTTGGACCCAGGTGCGCGGCTGCATGGAGCTCCGGCACCATGCCGTGCAACCCATTTCCAGGGCATGGCTGGGAAGCACACCGCGGCCAGACAAGCAGCACTACTGGCACTTCAGGAGTTGGGAACTTGAACAAATTTGCACCTCAAAGAACAGCAAAGTCAGAAATACACTGAGACCTGAGAAGGTTTTGTCACCTGCTGTCCTCAAGTCCACACCTGCAGCCCCATGCAGCCAGAAGACAAGCTGCATGTCTGCCTCCAGCCCCCGGCACAACCGCTCACACATCCTTCCTATGCCTTTGGGTAATCAATGCATTCAGTAAACACGTCGATCAAAAAGAATTTGCTGTCATTTTCTGCTTGGCTTATTGGAGCCTCGGAGGTCATCTACTCCTGCAACAGGCAAATGACAAACCCCCTTCCCTGCAAACCCTACTGCCAGCTTGCTTTGGGAGCTACCTACCATCAGACCCAGCTGCCAAGCGCTGCAAAATCTCATTATTCCACAAAACCTTCTGATGACAAATCCTTTTTTCCCCCCTCTGAAAAGTCATTTTTCATTTTATTCTAGATTGCTCCCCCCAACAAGCAAGGACTGCCCACTACTGACAACAGATCCCAGCTCTGGATGAAAGGCTCTGCTGTGGAAATAACTAAAACCTTGCAAAAGCATTTACAGTGTTTTCAATGTGCTGAATAACTACAAATTTGTAGAAGACTGAATACAAAAGCAAGACAGTGTTCTAAATAAATATTAATCAACTTCATTAAACAGTCATCTGAAATGTTGCATCCCAGTGGCTCCCAGCAGCAAACCCCACTGCAGTTCCATCCCACCTGCACAGCCATTAACCACTGCACGCAGCTCAGCAGCCAGCTGCTCCTTTTGGATGCCTGATGTATTTCCATCTCTTTTCATATTTCAGTAGTTGTCATCTTGGAAGTTCACCAGAGAAAGTCCAGAAGTCTAACTCTGATTCTGCCACGCAGGCTAGTTTGCAAAACAGGTTTGTAACAGAAAACCACTGAAGGATAAAGGTGTATTCCCATCTTAGGGGAGCAATTCTCGTTCCACTCCATAGCATGGGAGCCAATGCCCTCCTCAGTTTTTCCAACACAGAAAGTGTTCGTCTGCAAGCTACAGACAACAGACAACAAAGGCTTTTCTATACACAGGTGCTTCAGGAGAAATCTGTCTTAACAGTGGTCACAAAGAACACTGAGATAAAGCCCAAAGACACCAGCTAGTCAAAAATTAATAATTCTCTCTGTAGATACTAGAGTTGCTGTAACAAATATGCATGTCAAGCACAAATGAAAAAAAAAAATCTGAATGCAAATTCAAAGAAATGCACAGTCAACAAATTTCTACAATTCAGGATAAAAAGAGACGGTTTCTAGCAAAGCTAACACCTTATTGCAGAAGGTACTTTGACGGTATGACAGAGCAACACAAAACATAAGGCAATGACAGAGAATGAAAACATTGATTCTGTAGAGCTTCCATTAATCACCCCAGGCTGACAGCGCCTCTCCCCCTGCCTTTGGAAGCCCCTCGGGAAGAGAGGCACAGACAGAAAGCTCCAGGGAGGCAGGACAGATGCTGGCTCTAGAGATGGCAATCTGATGTGTTCACGTGTCAGATCATACTCTTCACTTCCATGTGAAGGAACACAAGTGAGGTGTTGGGTCAATGCAAGTTTTAAAGAGTAGGAATCCAACAGCCAAACCTCACCTAGCTTGTATTCCAGAGCAACTGAGCAGACAGCACGTTTCCAGCACTTCACACACCATTCATTCAGCTGCATGCTTCCACAGTGCTGCTCTCCTGTTACAGGTAAAGCAGTACAGCAATGAGCAATCTCTTAAATGGCTTAGTTTTGCTTTGTTTTACCAGCAGTGTGAAAAATGGAAGCTCTCTTAGGAGGAGGACTACCATAGTAGGTTAGTTGGAACAGAAAGTGGACACATTCCCAGTACCAAGATTGATATAAAAAGCAGGATAATACTATAAAAATGTGTAGCTTACTTTGTGCCTTTTCACAGAAGTTTATCTGAAAGCCTAAAGCAAAAGAGACAAGTTCTTGTTCATTTACTGCAAGTCAAAGAAGTGCATCACTTAAGAATCATATTTATGTTTCAAAATTCATTAATTAACACTAAAATCATACATAAAACAAGTTTATTAGATCAACAGACCGCGTTCCTTGATTGTAGAACAATTCCATCATTTCAGGATTCATCATTTCATAAACCAGTCTCAAGAGCCCCAAATGGGTTTATTTCCTCAAGGTGTTAATAAAATTCAAACTGTAACAGTTGGGGGATTGTTGTCAGAAAATTGCTTGAAAAGAACTAGCATGAGAGTCTGGTGGTAAAAGGTAACAACACACTTGAAAACTGAAGAGGTTGTTTTGTCCTCCAAAAGCCAAGGAGCTCCTCAGTGCTGCTCAGTGGTATCTGAGCATGCATAATCCAACTGGCTGCACATGCTGGGTGCAGCCACGTTTTAGAGCTGGCAAGGCCACGCTGCAACCCCTCTGTTCCCCCCATGCAGACAACCCAGCCATGTCTGAAAGAGCCACCTGTGATCCAGCAGACTCCAGTGCTGAAGGTACCAACACACACACGCCATCTTTGGGAGCTGCCGGCTTCCATTTTAGACCATTTTACCCCTAAAGCTGACAAGAATTCAAGGGCTGCTCAAAGAGGATCTGGAGACGATGCCAGTGATGGGCTCTGCAACAACACAATGAGCACCAGTGCAGGTGTAGGACACTGGTGCAGCAGCACAGGCTGCCCCACAATGGGCCCTGCACACCTGCCAGCAGCACTGCTGATCCACCAGGCCCTCACCAGCACTGCTGGCATAGCAAATGGAAATGGATGTTGTTCTGTGCTGTTTGCAATGCCTGAATCAGCCCCTTTAGCCCAGAACCTGTTCTACAACAATCACAGAATCACTTCGATGACCCCAAAAGGTCAAGTCCAACCACCAACCCAGCACTACCATGCCCACCACAAAACCATGTCCCTAAGCACCACATCTGCACAGTTTAAATACCTCCAGGGATGGTGACTCCCTGGGCAGCCTGTTCCAACCCTTTTTAACTCTCTCTGTGATTAAAATGTTTTCTAATATCCAACCTAAACCTTTCCAGCACAATTTGAGACTACTTCCTCTTGTCCTGTTGCTTACTGATTAGGAAAAGAAACTGACCCACCCCACATCTCCTCAGATGTCACTGTAGAGAGCAAAAAGGTCTCCCCGGAGCCTCCTTGGAACCCCAGATCCCTCAGCTGCTCCCCATTCGCCAGCTTCATTGCCTTCTTTGGACACACTCCAGAAGCTCGTTGTCCTTCTTGTAGCGAGGGGCTCAAAACCAAACACAGTATTCAAGGTGCAGCCTTACCGTAGCCACATACGAGGGGCAATCATTTCCCTGCTTCTACTGGCCATACTATTTCTTATACAAGCCAGGATGCCAGTGGCCTTCTTGCCCACACTGCTGGCTCATGTTCAGCCAGCTATCAAACAGCACCCGTAGGGTAGCTTTCCAGCCACTCTCCCCCCAGCCTGTAGGGTTGCATGACGCTATTATGGCACAACTGCAGAACCCAGCATTTTGCCTTGTTACCCTCATACATTTGGCCTCAGCCCATGCACACAGCCTATCCAGACGCCTCCGTAGGGTCTGTAGAGCCTTCCTATCTTCAAGAAGATCAACACTTGTGCCTCACTTGGTGTCATCTGCAATGCACCACGTTACGTTCACACAACACATTTCTGCTGTCAGCCATGGATTTCACTGTGATGCCTTCCGTAACTGGTGCCCCCTCCCACCTGCAGCCTCAACTATCTCTGCATAAGAATTAATTGGTTTTAGTATTTTTTCTCTCTGATAGCATGCAAAATCTTAAAAATAACCAAAGAGCAACAAAAATAGACTGACAATATGTTCAGAGGGCAAGGAGAAAACAAGAACAGTAATTAAAATTGCCCACTTAAGTCTACCAATGTTCATTTAAAAACTCTGAAATTAAATTAATAACAATAATATAAGTGTATCAGTAAAAATTTAAAAAATGCTTCAGCCAGGCACGTAGCTGGCAGGATAACATCAAAATGTCAAAGGGAGAAAGAAAAAGATAAAACAGTATTTTATTCCACAAGAGAAGTTCCTTTTCCTCCCTACAAAAGCAACTCAGCTTGCCAGTTTGCTGGTTTGCCCCAAAATTTCTTCCCATTCTTCTGGGAATGTACCTCTGGTTTACTCAGTTCTCAGTGTTTCTCAGTTCCCAGCTGAGGGACAGGCATGCATGCTGCTGAGCTGCTTAGCTGTACTATGGCTGTTAAAACAGATACTCCGATTACATTTTCACATTCAGAAATCGTTAATGCCACTTCAATCTACTGCTAGTTTTCTTTCTGATCGCTCCTTTACTTTCCTTTTAACTATGTTCTCACAAGCTGCCAAGCCAGACATGATTATTTTGAATGTTATACAAGTTTTGTTTATTTTTTTTTTTCCCGAGGTCCATCAACTAAGGGAAGACACAAAGCTTTGCTGTTGAAGAAATGGGCACCACAGCATTTCAAAGAAATTTCCTCAAGCCCACTGGCTTTTGAAAGCCCTTGGAAAATTGGAAAAAAGTTCCACTCCTGTGCAGAGGGCAGGCAGGTCTTCAGCACGGAAGGAGCCTGGGAGTCTGCCCAGCTAATCCCCTCGGTGTCGCACTGGGTAACAGAAGACTGCTGCAAAAATACCAACCAGTAGCCCCAACACAGATCCAGCTATCTTCTTCCCTTGTCCTCATCCGCATTAACTCTTTCTCACTCAGAGATCCTTAAAAATCATACATCAATTCTGCATACAAAACTTGAGTGCCATACAGTAACATCAAAGTATCCCCCTAGCTGTGAAAATTCTTGCAAGGATGTCAGAGCAGTACAAAGGAAACAGTTTTTAACCCTCCCAGCCATCTGAGTGCAACCAACAGCCAGAAGCAACACTGCTCATCACCTGTCTCGAGTCTTCATTCAGAGAAAACTGACCTGCAACATGTGGTTTAAGACTGAGGTTTCTCGACTACCGCAAGACTCTCAACTTTTAGCCAAGATGCTGTTTACCACCACCCCAGAATCAGGGATGCTGCGCTCATCTGTGTTTGCGGCTGATCCAAACCCAGTGCCAGCACAGCCTCCTTCTGAGGCTGCAGCTATGGTGTGGCCCTGAGGCAGCATGGAGTGCAGCAGCTGCAGGCACCCAGCCTGGTCCTGCCACGTGAAAGGCTGCAGGAAAACGAAATTAATTCCGAAGTCACTGCAAAAAAAAGCTTCCTAACACTGAGAACAGAGAATCCATTTCCTGGAAAGGGTGGCAGAGGTTGGCTCTTTCAGCCCAGCCAAAGGCGTGCCAGGACAGGAACACCGAACCACATCCAAGTACAAGGCATTATGAAAGGAGTAACAGCACCTATGTTGAAAACTAAAGATGACAGAAGATCAACAGTTACAAAGGTGTCATGAAATCAACATGGTCTGGCCCCTGACACAATGTTTCTAGCTACTGATTGAAATCCTTCAGTTGTCCTCCAGAAACCAGAGCAGAGAGGGGCATCTGAACTGCTTTAAAGAGGAACTGGATGCATTTACAGGAAGTCAGTAGCAGGAAGACATTGTTACTGGAGACAAAACACAAAACCTGTGGTGGGATCTCTGGGGCACACAGCTTGCTAGTGCGAGTATGGGACAGCACAGGGTTACTGTGCCAGCCATGCTGAGGCTGCTCCTGGCAGCATGTGTGCACTGGGAAGGAATGCTCCCACTGCATTCCCACTCAGATTTTATTTTATTTGTAAGAGAGATTTCCTTCTCCTGATTGCTCAGCTCTGGACAACAGCCACGTCATCTCTGCTCTGGGCTTCCAGTCTTGACCAGTGGCACGAAGTGGAGTACGAGGATGACCAGAACCATCTTCTCCCCTCCTTCCTGCCTTCCACCCATCCAAGTTTCCAAGTGGGATGTGAAGAAAGACAAGGACATCAAAGGTAGGGCAAGGTTTCCAACTGCTTGGCACAAGACCAGGTCCTGCACTGACACTGCTCCATAGAGGAAGCAGTCTTTACAGGAAAACTCGGACACGGTCCCATTGCTCCCCAGAAGGGATTTCCAAATGCAATGCTTTTATCTCACTCCATAGCCCCTCCCAGGTCAAAGAAACACCATCGTGTGTTTTTAAAGGAAACCGTTTTATCTTTGTCCACAAACCTCTTCAAAGTACAAACACTCTGCTCTCTGGTCCAAAAGCAAAGTAATGCCTAATTCAGTTCAGAGAATTCTTCCAGAGAATCAGGTCCAAAGCAAACCATAAAATTTTCTTGGTCTGCAGAAAAAAACAAAGCCTGGACAAAATATGATGAAAAGATTGATTCCCTTTTAGCTCAGCTGTATCTGCTCCCAGCAGCTGTCCTCCTTCCGCCAAAGGGCATCTCCTGAAGCATCTCAGGAAGATCAGATAAATTATTCAAAACACAGACTAACTCCTGGCGCTTGGACTCTTTGTTCACTCCATGATCAGTGCAAGTTGTCTGCTTCTTGAAGGGCTCACTTTGCCTCCAAGAAAGGGCACATACAAAAGCTTCAATTTGGAGAAGAGGAAATCAATCTAACAGCTAATAAATAAGCAATTCACATATTTCCTGTCTCCCTAGATGCTCATACAGAAGTTAACGGGCCATAGCCTGCTAAGCACAAAATTATTGCACACATTCATGAGAACTGCACCTTATCTCATTTCAAAGCAGAACTGGGAGGCAGACAGGGAGTGGAGGCTTGGCAACACCACACTGCATTTCCTCACTAACAGCAATAAAGTTTGCTCCACTGAGGCCACGGCCTCAGGAGGCAAGGTCACACATTTCAGAAGATGCTTTGTGTCATCACATGATGGTCCTGACACAAAACCCAGACAACAATGTCTAAGCAGGGAGCAGGCACCCGGTAGGCTGTGCGAAGATTTCTGCAAGGACCTTTACTTAGTTACAGTCCAATCTTCTTCC